CTCGAAGCCATGGAATCGGTGACCCTATACTCGGTTGGATCGGCAAGTTCCTCGCTCAACGTCAGCTGAATGTGAGAGTCCGCAGCTCTATTTCCGACCCAATTAGCGTCCAGTGTGGCATGCCCCAATGATCGGTACTGGGTCCACGTTTATTACTCACATTCTTTGACGATCTTGGCAGTGTACTGCAGTCGAACTTCTTACTGTTTGCGGATGATATCAAAAGTTGGCATGATATCAAGACATCGAATTATCACATGGCATTGCAGAGCGATCTCGACAGGGCTTATGCGTGGTCATCCGACAACCGGCTCCAGTTCAACTTGAACAAGTGCAAAGTCGGAAGCATACGCAATCAGCTTATCTATGAATATCGACTTGGGGACCAGCAGTTACAACGTGCTTCCCAAGAAAGCGACCTCAGGGTAATCGTGCAGGACGAACGTGGTTGCTCGAGACAGGCTGAAAAGACATCAAAAAGAGTCAGTCAACACCTTGGACATTTACGGAAGACTTTCGGCAATTTTGAGCCATCAATCTTTCCGTAAATGCTGAACGCCTACGTGATGCCTCACGGGGAATATGCGATCGAGGCCTGACGTCCCTGGCGCAGGCGCGACGTCAATGCACTTGTAGCTCCGTAACGTATAGCGACCAAACTCGTTAGAGAATGCTTTCATCACTCCTATCAACACAAACTGCAGTACCTGAGATTGTACAGAGGTGAATATCGACGCCAGCAAGGAAATCTAATCATGGTTTACTCAATATTGACGAACCCAACTCACGCATGTCGCAACCTGTTACAGCTGAGCCAAACTACCAACCTGAGAAGCCATCAGCTCAAACCGACTGCGCACTATAGTCGGCTTGATTGTCGAAGAAACCTTTTCTCCCTCCGTGTGTCCCGTGCCTGGAATGGCCTTCCGAGTCAAGTTATCCTTGCCCCTACATTAACGCTTTTCAAAAAACACCTTGATGAAACGCTTTCAAACTTGCATTACTTGATATAGTCCGTTGCACTTGGAGGACGAAACAATGCAAACCTAACCATGTGCTTAACGGCCCTCTCCAAAACGTGGCGGTGAGGATACATGCAGAAGTGTCCATGGGATTAGCCTGGATGCAGCTAAAATGGATTAACCTATCACACCTGGCAAATGAAGAAACGAACCAGTGAGCGTTGTCGTTTCCTTTTTTATTTCTCATGCACTTATTGAACTTTAACAACGCTCTATATTATTTTGCGTGTGCACCTCCCCTTCGCACTAAAAACTATTGTTATGCAGCAGTGCATTTAACTCGATGAACGCTCGAAATAACGATTTCCTTACTTGATGATCCTCCATATTTTAATTTTTACTCCAACCATCCTACGGGACTTGTCAAGCATGTGCTTTTTTACCCGTGATAAATCATTGCTCATTTTTCATTGCCGAAGTATAAAGTGCTGCTCCAGGTTTGGCACGCGCCCGTTTCCCAGCAAACGGTTGAAGATACATAATCTGAACATGTTTATATTTTCGCTTATCTTAGCAGCTGCATGTTTTCTGGTGATACCTTAGAAAAGAGGTTTCTCTCCATATCGCCAACGCTCGGTCGGGTTTTGTTGATTTGAAACATTTGTGGCCTCTTCTGGATGTCTTCCTCTTAGTAAAGGATCGTGTTTACCATGCTATCGTTCGAGTGATGTTGATATATTGAAGCAAAACCTGGCCAGTTCTCGTAGATCACATGCGCCATCTCTCGACCCTCGATAATGGGTGCTTAAAGAGGATTGCTCGTGTGTATTGGCAGCAACGTATTTGCAACTGTGTAGTTAGAAGTCGTGCTTTATGGAATGCGAGTATTCCACTCAACAAGCTGGTTTCGCTTCTCCATTTGCGATGGCTCGGTCAAGTCCTACACATAGCACCTGAACTTCCGTCGCGCCGCGCTCTATTCGCTCGTTCAGGAACGGGCTGGAGGCGGCCGCGTGGTAGTCAGCTTCCCGCTTGGCGACACCGTATGAAAACATTTACTTCACATTTTTATGTCGTTGGATCCACACGTCTGCCTGTTTGGGGACCAAATGACGAAGAGGGCCGATAGCTCTAAGCTATTCTGAATATGTCGTGCAATCGAAATGAGTGGAAGATCACTGCTCATACATGTTTAGAGTCAGATACCTAATAGCTGCTTAATGAAAAAGACAAAAAGTGAAAAATCGCGTGTGCGAAATAACAAAATACGTTTTGTTTTTCCTGTAGCAGTATGGCTGAAATCTGTCGCTCTTATTCTGCTAATGTGTAATGATAATGAGGATGATGCTGCCCCAGTGCTTCTACCCTGCCTTACAGCTGAACGACCGCAGTGCAGCTCCTAATCGGGTATCATTCCTACTGATGTCCGCCTAGCAGACAGTGAATGTTGGTGGGTCTAACTACTTCGATACTAGCTTTATTGCATAGAGGCAATGCGACTGTACTGTCTGAACTAGGAGACTGAGAGACCAGTCCTAGCGTCGTGCTGCTGACATGCGATCTAGTCTCATGAAAATATCAATGAACTATGATGAGAACTTCCACAGTGCAAATAGCTATTTTATATAGCCGATATTGTACAAATGTCTATGCACAGAATTGAGCCAACAAGAAGCTGGAACGGAGTCCTAGCAGCGACTTCCTACCTGAATTAGGTTATGTAAACTCATACTTGAACTACTCGATGACGTAGCTACGACTACGGCGATCGATGCTGCGCCGTTCGTAAACACAGAGCTGAGGGCTTACTGAAGGCAAAAGGCCGCACAAACATGGAAAATTGTGTTAGAGATAATAAGGACCTATGGTATTTCTGAACGAATTCGTCGCAGTTAGACGCAGCCAGACGGCCAGGACACATCAGTGAAAGTGCTGGACGGCCGTTTTGTCCTATTGGGACACAAGTAGCGCGCATCTGCCAGATCCTGCTGACCCGGAGGTCATGACTTCATTATTACAAGTCAGCACTCTATACCATTGAGTCACTTCTTCGCGGTTCGGCAGAGTGTGATTTGGTACTTTCTACCGCCAGAAATTTGGTCGACGATAACGGTCCTAGTGAGCATCTTCGTCACTTTTGCTACACGTTAGCTAGAATAAAAATGACATTATATATATACATATAAATATAAATATATATATGTAAAGAGTGAAATGTTGACCATTACCGAATATAAAATAAAGCCACATTATTCAGCCGCCCAATGGCCTTAAGGATGACAAGCCTGACTTGTAATCCAAGGGTGCGGGTTCGAATATGCGCAGGGACCGGGCGTGTCCCGCAGTATCCTTAGCCTACGTGCGACCGGTGCTGGTTGCGCCGCAGCGTAGCCTCGACACTGCATACCAGCGTACTTCTGATGCTTAATCACATTATGCATCTGGCGTGAACTCGTGCTTAAAGAGGAAGATAAGCGGGAGCTAGAAATATGATGAAACTCACGACACAAACGTTACTGAGCTCGGCTCCTAGCCATGTCAACTGCTGTATCCAACCAAACGTGTTCATTGTCCTTAGGACGGCAGTTGGGATGCACCAACCGATGCCAAATTCGAAGTTTGACTTTCCATTCTTATTGTTTAAGTCACCGCTTAACTTCTTCTCTTCTTCCATCCATACCCTCGGCGCGCAAACACCGCACACCTCGGGTGTCTGTGTGCGACATGCGCAACAGGTGGCCTAACCATCGGCGTCTTTTATCTGATATAATGGTGCTTAGCGACTCATTCTCACTTCTTGCACCAAATACAGGACGCCGAACGTGAACGGGTGACTGGACCATTGAATCTGTTCTTCAGATCGACGGTGATGTTGCGCCGATATCATAGACGTAAAAATTAGCAAAGGTGCCTCAATCCTTTGCTAAGCTTGCAGAAGGACTTTATCTTTAATAGGTAGAAGCGATTGGCAACCGGTGCTGATTTCTTTAGAGCTTCTGGGCACTGAACAAAATTAAAGCGTGCTAAATTGATGAACAAATGGCCACTATATATATATATATATATATATATATATATATATTTGCAACAGTCTATGAATAGACATTGCACCATCGGAAACCATGGAACTCAAAACAAGGTACAGCAATAGTAAAAGAAAACACAATACAACACAACAATGTCCACGGTTTCGTCAGAGGGCGAAATACTACCCGGTTGCCCAAGCCGAAGTAGGGTGTTGACTTAGGGGACACCACCCCGAGCCTTTGGCTGAATAGCCTGTCCGCAAGGCAGCGGAGCGAATTCAGGGAATCGCGCCCATTGGGAGCCGGTGACTGATTGATCAGTTCATACGCCTTTCGTTTGTTCCTTTGCCAAACAGGGGCCCAATGCTCCCCGAAATTACAGCATCAATTTGCTGGAATACAATGCTTCGCCAGGATGAAGCAAGGGGCAGTGACTTTATTTAGTGGCGAGTCACGTCCGCCACATCACAGTGTTGTTAAAGGGACATTTGTGGCTTTTATAGGGAGAACGCTTGCCAGGCGAAAACCCACCACGTCCTGGAACACTGCCGCCGAACTATTTGCTGGAACGGGAAAATCCCGAACCACCCAGCTGGCACCACGAGGAGGTTGTTCGGCAAGCCAGCCAATGGCCACTATGAGAAGGCATTAAGTTTTTCGTCTCTTTATTCCGATGAACAGCTTTAATTGCAAACGGCAGATTGATTAGCCTATGAAGAGGAATAAATGAAAAGCTCGATTTGTCTTATCTAGTTCATCCTCCCTATTAGATGGTCCCAATGAAATGGACTGCCAAGTTCATAACACCGCAACCACGTATTACAGACTGCATTTTCCAAAATCGTTGCAGGTTTTCAAATCGCAATTGTGTAAGATACTTAATGAATAGCCAGCCAGCGATTTGACAAACCATGCTTGAAACGATTATCGACTTTAAGTCACAGTGAGTATGAATTTTTTATTCGTAGAATTGTAACACAGTTCTATTTTCTGCGTCTCACTTTAATTTCAGCGTCTCATTCCGTAGCACTAGACATCGAACCGGAGCCAAGAGAGAAAATCCTTTTTTCCAACCTTGAGCGTAACCTCAGTTTCCACTTAAAAGTACCTCGTAAGAACAGCGTCTCTCCTGTTCACTACGTCTCACGACAGCCTGTAGCGTGCAACATGACCAGAACTTACTCTCACAAGGATTTACCGCACACCAGCTTTCACTTCCTCTCAAGCATCGGTTTGGAACAGAAGCAGGTGATCGAGGGAGAATACACGATTGATTGCTACCATCCAGAAACTGATCTGCATCGCAAATTTACACGGTACATTTTGCACCATGGTTCGTACCATTGGGATTGCTCGATGGCTCCCCATGTTATTTATCTGGAAGAAATTGTGAACCAGGAGCATTTGATCTGTACTTGGAAGCTCAATGCATCCGATCAGTGGATACAGAGTTTGACGAATGTGGAAACACTAGAAAAGCCTTTCGATTGCACAGACGATAAAGGGAAGTTAGAATTTATTAATGGGGTTTTGCTGGTCAGCCGAGGTCAGAGGAACGTGGGCACCTATCTCATAAATTGCCGGGGGTTGGTCGTCGTCCCCTGTCTACTTATTACAAGTAAGTAATATGTTAGAAGCAACCTAATCAATAGCGTAACTGAATCACCAAGGATGTTAGTTAACTTGCTTGTCGTAGTTGTCAAATGCTTGTATCTAACTAAGAAGTTCATGTTGGCCATATACAGATGGGGAATTCTAGGTATACCTAAAACATCCCATCTAAATTTCCAAGTAAAGTAACTCTGTTCCGGTAATTTTGTCGCCCCCATCTTAGCCTCCTCATTCAGAAAACGCCTTGACGATACCGTGACATTGTGCGCCACATAATATAGTCCACGATCATCGGATGGTAGCATTAACGCAGAACAAACAGTGCTGGGTGTCATATCCGTCTTAAAGCCCAAGTAGCAATACACACACTATGCTACTGCATACCATTTGATGAGTCAGTTGTCTCGCGCGTTCTTTTAACGACACTGTGTTGTATTCTCGTTAATTTCACCCAAACCACTCACCTTTAGTTTCATTCATTATAAGTCATTGCTCCAATGATTCGTAAACGTTTGCAGGCATATCTCTAAAAGTTCGTAGGTTAGTCAGGAAGAGCAATGCAAATACAAAGATTATCGATGTGGACAAAGTGAATTACTGACCAGTGATGCAATATAATAACGGCAAATTAGAAACAGAGTTGCAGTAAGGAGGTTGCATCACGCAAGCGCAATAACAAGTCATTCCATCTAATCATTCTTATAAGGATGAATCATGCTGCTCACCCGTCTGCACCAACTAACTTGTATCAGTGTAGATCATATTTCCAACTAAGTGAAGTCACAGAAGTAGGTTCCGGTGTAGTGAGTTTGGGTAACCAGCTGTAAAGAGCTGTGTACCATGTGCAAACGTGTTCTGAAGATGGTTAAACGGAGGGGGCAAACGATTGAATTAAGAAGAACATTCCAGGGTTGGCAGACCCGTAAGTAGAATTAGTTCCAAAGACATTTAACAACACGAATTCCTATCCAGTGTTCAGAGCGTTCCATTTAATATAATATGCTTTGTAGCTCGAAAGGCCTGCAAAAGTTGCACCGAAATTTTTATAATTTTATGCCAGCCGATTAACTTTCCAATCCAGATAGTCGGAATGACTTGGACATTTCAATTCATCCGTCATCGACGCTAATCGGTAAACATGTTTCTGACATCATTTGGCCTCGATTGGAATGGCATCACGGAACTGACAGAAGTCAGCTGCATGTATTGAGGACACACTTCCCGGTTCGCTGTTTCTGCTGCAACTCAACTGCGAAGAAGCCGTTATCATTCTCATTTGCCGAACCTTTTCAAATCGGACAACTTCCAAACGGGTTGTTGGAATTTCATTGCTTTGCTGAAGGACTAGATGTGCAGCGGAGATTCCAAAAATTCGTGGTTCATCTCTCGGGATCTCTACATGAGCGCATTGGACCGAACAACTCCCACAGGAAAACCTTAGTCAGGTCGGTGCAGTACACTTGGAATACTGATTGTTTCGAACCATCTGGAGAGTTTGAAATGATGACGGAAGCACTGAAACTAACTGTGGCTCCGATAACAGAGACTGAAGAGGACATCCTGTGCACGGGCTATGAGCACAATATTATAATGTATTTTCGAGGTATGTCAATTGTAGCACTGTGTTTCGCAACAGCTGGATACCAGCGTTTCATGTTTCTACTATGAAGAGTTGTCCATGCGGAAGCTCCAACCAAGGACTAGTTGTATTGCATGTGTTGCCATCAATAGAAAAGAGGGAGGTGGAAATTGTCGGAGTAACATGTTTGGAGAGAACCACATAATGCCACCGTGACTAAGATTACCTTAGCTTAAAGCTTGATGAGTAAGGGGAAATTAAGCAATTCCGAAGCTGCTAACAAGGTCTACCAATTTATGAAACTCACACGTTAGACTGGTACAGTAAATCGTGTTATCTGTTCTTGAATGAGAATGATGGAAACGTGCCTTCACATGAAGGAGCAATTTATGAACAAGTTACAGTCTGCTGTCTGCGGGAACACAGAGCACCTAACCTTAAAAGAACATGAGCGAGCAGTCCGTCCAGCGTCCTTAATCGTTGCGAAGAAACCTAATGATCCGGTTTAGAATCGGCCGACCTGGAATTTGAACAATGTCCTGTCAGCCACCATCTTCGCTTTCTTTCTTTTTTCGTCAAAAGTGCGAATTACATCTGGCCTCTGGGGCGTGGTTAGAACCTGCAACTCGACCGTTGCCAGTCAGTGGTTAAGGCCACTAGGCTACGCGGGACGGTAGAGCCCTACGTACCTGTTACTAAATGTGAAATATCGACGCTCACAGTCGGATTGCGAGTTCTGGCTCCGTAAGGGTCGGATGGGAAACGTATTGCTGACAATGTCGGAAAAAGGAAACGGCCGTACAATACTTTTCCGTGTGACATGTGATGACAGTTTGAGTCTAGTTGTGAGGAACTTCAGCATCTTACATTCACCTCTTCAAACTACCCACTTGTGACTGTGGCTGCACATTATTTGATTCATTGCTTGCAGAAAACCCGGGTTGTTTCTGTTTATTCCTCGGGTAGATTGCTCTGTCTATGAGGAACATAGAAACTGAAGACAGACACAGGGCGATAAATACAGGACACTTTACCATTGCAATCACTAGCTGCCTCTTAGCAGGCACCGATAGAAAGAAAATGCAGTTTGTGCCGGCCTGTGGTTTGTTAGCTGCAGCCAAATGTCATATGGCGAGCTATTCTACAGTTCTGCTAACTAAATAGGTCTTTCGCTGTGTTTGAATGGTCGATGCCCAAACGATGTGTGCACCATTCATTGCATGCTTTGCTTCTGAATTCGCGCATAAGCAACTGGCTGGGACACAAAACCACCACCATCGATTCTGTGTGCGTCGCTCTGTGCTAAAAGACAAGTCGAGTGCAATTATCTCTGTGTATGATGAATAATACTTTATAACGGGCAAAAAAGCCAGTACTTGCAATTCCTGCGGGATGACCAGAGTGAGGATTAGAAAAACAAGGTTGCAAACTGGCAGGAAAAAGGGAAATTTCACGTTTTACGCGAATAACCAGATTATTCACATGAACACAGAGGCAGCACTCCTCACTGCTACGTTACGAAAAGAACGGATGAGCACATAGTTTTATCCACCCCATTCTGTCACCGGCTTGGAATAAACTATAACAAGTAGTATAAATGGGATAGCGTGTCGGTGTCGTCGTCTTCTGAAACATGGTAATGCAGAGACTATTATGACATGAGTTCTATAAGCGTCCCATATGCGGATCTTCGAAGAGATTAGCTTTCGTCGAAAAACAAGTCGACTGTAGTGCGTGGCTGATTTGAGCTGGTGGTCTCTCAGATTTCTATTTTGCTTGCATTGCAGCAGATTACGGAGGGCGTGGGTAGGGATGGCAGCATTTGCTGCACCATGATGAGGTCTCGCAGACGCGGATACTCACCACTCACTTCACCGTATAGAAACCGTTCAGACTCATTGACAACTGTCAGTGATAACGGAAACTCTCCCAAATGGTAACGAGTATAAGGTGAACGTAACCGAAACTGGGGTTCCAACGTATATTCCTAATTATCAAGGTATTCGTGTAAGCCTCCAAAACATTTGGTCAGCACCAAGTTGCATTCAGCATCAGCATACTAGTTGACTGCTTCGGGATGGTTTAAAGACGAGTACCGGTAACATTGTGTGGCGGAAAGCGTGACAGGAGCTATGGCCGGCGGAAACTGCAAACGCACTCTGTTTTCCATCACATCAAACTAGCTATCTGAATATCGCTAATATGTATAGGGCCACAAATGGCGGGATTCAAACGGTCATCTGAGTCGTCCGAATCAGATTACCAGTCGGTATAAAACGATTTCGCTATGTTTCACTTTGGCTTTGAAAAATATAAACTCACCTTGCGAAGGACACAATGTCATTCAGTGTCGAGCTACTGCTAACTATCCGCAAGGAACATACGGGGCTTTGGGATTCGTGGAAGTAACAATGGTACTGGTGAAGTGAATTACTTGTCGCAAGCGGTGTTTGTGCTGGTGCTATTCGCAGCAAAATTATCTCATGCCCTCAACTTCCTTGGCTTGCATCAGTGTCTGTCTTTCTGTAACCTTCAAAGACCTTTACTAACAAGCTAGTGTAATATAGGAGAGATGTGAAGCGTGTAACAGTAGGGCTAGATTTCAGATCCCATGTACGCGGTGGACTCGTTTGCCTCTGTGCACCTGTTCATCCCTATGTGACCGCGCCTAGCTAGATACTTGGACTGCATTTATTCAATAAATAATGTTTAGCCGATACAACAGAACTGGACCTTGTGACTAATCTAACAAGTTAAAAAGTGGAAGCTGAGGGCTGATATATTATCAGCGTCTGTAATCGCCGAATGTAAGAAACTAAGATTCATAACCAAGTTCCCTTGGATTTTACCGGACGCATTTGCTTATTTTTGCAAAACTCAGTTCTTCTGGGGTAAACGGCATATTCAACAAAATTACTCCAGCGAAATAACAGCAGGTATAGGCAAAAATACATTTCGATAAATGTTATTCACTCGCTTCCAACAATGTTTAGTCGATTAGGTTTCACTTTGAATCAGGTAAACAAAAGAGCAGGAACATCAGCCATTTACACAGGCAGATGCTTAGGTTTGTTGTCTATTGAGCGAACTGGATAGATTGTCCTTCTATTGGCAATCTGGTTCCCGCGTCCATTCCTCGAGGTAGACCCTCCCACCACATTCGTGATATATGCAAGAGTTAGGTGTGTGAACTTGAAATGGGAACAACAAGAGCATAAATGTAGATCAGCCTTGATGTGTCAAATCAAGCTACAAACGAAACACTAGAAAATACAGCACATGTTATTTTCGCCAATTTGTATCTTCACACTACCACCATTAGTACTACTGATGGCAATGCCACCAAACTTAATAATAATAATAATAATAATAATATAGACCTTGTATATTCACCAACAGTGCAGTTACCGTTCGCTTTGTAAAAAAGAAGTGCTAGAGTCACTGCAGGTGTAATTGTGTCAAGGGCATTTGGAACCGGTTCAAACACCAAACTTAACTTGCACCGGTACATTCTATTAAATGCGCATATCATGTGACTGATGCACTGGAAGTTTGAGTGAGCATTCATGCTCGGTTTCGAAAGACACTACTGATTGTCATCAGCGAATACGTTGAGGGAACAACCTGAATCGAATGTGTATCGTACATATCCATCTATTTTCATTTATTTGTCTACCTGTTACTTGTCTGTCTATTTGTATGTGAGTATGCCTAGTTTCGTGTCGTCTGTTTGTCTATCTTCTCTCTCTTCTACGTATCTCAGTATCTCAGTCCAAATGCAACTTTGTTCACATTTATCCACTTAATGATAGATCTATCTCTGTACTTACGCTTGGTCTGTTTGTCTATCTAGATCCCTATTTGTACCTGGGTCATTAGTATAAAAGAGTTGGTAGCTACACGTAAAATGATTGGTTGGTGCAATTATTCCTTTTCCTTGGGCTATGTGCTAACTCCAGAACATTGATGGACGAACTGCATAGCAGTAGCGTGTAGTTCAGGAGTTTGTGAACCGCAGTAAATCAGAGCCAGTAACTTACTCGTGTCAGTCAATGCCGTCCCCAGTAAGTCAGCGGTCATATCCACTGACTCGGATTAGTATGTTTGAAATTTCCGGTATCATAAGTAACAGGTGGAATAGGTATTACTGACGATTCACGAAAAGAAGAAGAATCGACCGGCTGGTGCTTGTTCGTGTGACTGGTGATGGTTGTCGGATTGGGTCCGGATGTGCGGAATTTCTCCTACGTTGCATTAAGCTGCGCTACATCAGAAAGTGCTACTTTCCCCGTCGAGCTCTAGTCTCAGATGCAACTCGGTAGTTTTCTCATTTAGCTCTCAAGAGTGTAACACATTTTTCTGGTCGCACACTAATTCATTGAAAAGCCAGTATATTGTGAACATTCTAGAACAATGAATCTATTAGCAATGGTCCTTGTAGGTAAGTATACAAACCATTTCTGTTCGTACCACTGTGTAAACCACCGACGGTGGTGGATGTCCGTAAAAGTGGCGTTCCTGATATTGTGTGCCCAGTTATCACGGAGGTTGTTATGACAATGGGCTTTTCGTCAACAATGTCAAACTTTTATTAATGGCTGGACTGAGTGGTGACAATCGCACCCGTAATCATAACAGAGCGTGGTCCCATATGCTTTTCTTTTGAGTAATGTACGGAACACAGGATCAAAACCGATTCCCAAATAGCAACTTGGATTGTCCTGGCGTCTAAATTGTTTTTAATTATTTCAGACTCAGACTTGTACTTGTCAGCAAGTCCCGCACAATCGTTTTACATCTTCGATCAGCGACCTCCGTTGCAACTACACATCAGTTGCATGAACGCGACCCGTCAGCAGGCCAATTTATTGCGAAGCATCCCACTGGAATGTAGCGTGAGAGACGCGAAGGGAGAGTCAGTCAACGTGAAGCGCGGTTTCAACACATCCGCCGGAACAAACATGGCCTCTTTCACTTCCACTGCGGAGAGCTTGGTGACTGGGCGTTATCACTACGCATGCTCCGCCTTCTCGCACCGACTTCTGCTGGATATCAGCCTGATACTTGTTGGTAAGAAGTGTACTTTTCGAATCATGCGAACCCATCCGATTGTTTTTAATAATTGAATGCTTCTGTCAACAATCTGCTTTACGTTTGATCTTATGAAGAGGAAATCAAAACACTTTCATGCAACTTAGATGTCCAGCAAAAGTGAGAGCTATTTCGTAGAGATGCACATAAACCACAGAAAATATTGCATTTCCTCCGTAGCGGAGAGTTTAGGACGTTACGGGAACGTGGTGCGAACGTTTAGGGCGCTCTATCGATAACCATCACCTCCCCACTGGAAGCAACTCATCGGCAGTTAACACCACGAAATCAATGTACTGATATGCTGGTTGATGGTTGGCGTGATGTTTTCATCGAGTGACGAATAGTCTGAACCATAGAACTGGTAAATGCTCGTACGACTTATGTTCTCCTTCCGTGGACGGCAACAGACCATTGAGCATTGCTCCTTCGTCAAAGGAAACGAGCTGGGACTTTCGCCTGGACAGGGGCCGTCCTGTCTTGGTCATCCTAGTGTGTTGTGTCCATTCCTTCTTGGTGCACGTGGCCACGTGGCTTCAGCCATGTCACTAATTCGTCACTAATTCGAGCTATTAAGGCGCATTGGACTACGCGTATCGTTGCTGCTGATTAGCTTAATCCCATCGCAATGAGGCTGGACCTTACCGTGGTGCGATGGTTTGCGTGCCTCAGAGCTCCATTGAGCTATGCTGGGTAGTGCTTTTTTGCACCTTCAGAGCCACTCATACCAGACTGGTCAATGGTTAGAGGCCAGACAAACTCAGCCTCCTTGTCCTCCAGGTTGGGGGTTGGAATGGGGGTGGCTCCTCATTTCATAAAACGGGCTCCGAAGTCTAGTACCAAAACCCGTTGCCTTGCGGTAAGGTTTTTGAACCAAAGGCTTTGGTTGAGAACCCTAATCGTTCTCCTGTCTAGGCCTGGGCAACCTGACAGTATTCTGCCCACGCAATAAAATGAAACTTTCCTAAAACAATTTCTTGATGCTCTGGCCGTCGCAGAGGATAATAAACGGCGCCCTATTTGCTGCATCAAGCAGGGTGGTTAGGGGTATGGGTGCTACTGCTCAGTCCTTCCCGTCTTCTAATACCCCTTCTTGCGCTTCTGCATCCTTATCGTCCCGCTCCAACTTTATTTTTATCCCCCCATTTTCAACCCCAATTCTTGGCCCTCCTCCAGCTTGTTCCAGTAGTCGCTTGTCTTCTAGTTTCAAATCACACACAGTAGCAGGGCATCGCTCCAATCCAGTTGACAAGTCCATGTTCAACCAAGCGGACAACGTCAGTTCATCCGTTTCCCTTTGGAGTCCTCGCGTCTCGCTAAGACTGGCATGCCTCAACGTGCGCACTTTGCTGCAGTTTGGCCAACAGGCAGCACTTGCCCGCACACTAGAGACCCTATCGATCGATATTTGCTGTTTATCAGAAACCCGCCTGCAAGGTTCGAGCTCCGTGCTTACCCTGAGATCCCCCACATGCGACACTGGCGGCACATTCTCATTGCGCCTGTCTGGCGATGATGCAACTTCAAATGCCAATCAAGCTGGCGGCGGCATTGTTTTGAGTCCCCGGGCTGAAGCTGTCCTGATTGATTGGATCCCAGTAAACAGTAGGATGTGCGCCGTTAGATTAGCTGGTTCGTTCCGTGCTACGAAGTCACGCGGGGACAAACGTTGCCTGTTTGTCATTGCGGCTTACGCCCCTACAAACTGTAGCACTGATTCGGTAAAAGATGATTTCTATCAGCAACTTCACGTGCTCGTTCGTTACAGAAGAAGCACGGATACTGTGTTGTTGGCTGGCGATCTAAGCGCCCAAGTCGGAAAATTGTCCTCTGATGAGCTTCATCTGGGCGGCAAACATGGTGTGGGCGCCCGTAATGATAATGGTGAGCGATTGCCGCAGCTGTGTGAAGATGCTCGCCTCTTTCTCGCGAGCACTAACTTTCGACACAGCACCCGCAGAAGCGTGACTTGGCGGCCATCAGCCTCGGGCCAACCATGGACGCAATTCGATCATATCGCGATCAGTTACCGCTGGAGAGGCTGTGTCTAAAATTGTCGCTCGATTTGGAGCACTAGCGTGGACTCTGACCACGCACTTGTCTGTGCCGACCTCCTGGTGCTTTCCGGTGGACGTCCGCAACGGCGATGTGAACGGATTGACACCAGCCAGCTGGCGAAGCCAGATGTTCTGAATGTATATCACAGTGCGCTGACATCTGGGCTGAGTAAGCGCCCACTAAACACCGCTGAAGATCACTGGTCGCATATTCGTCAAACGTTACTGTCCGCAGGCATGTCTTCATGTGGCAAAGCAAATTGCCAAACCGGACATTGGGTCTCTACACAGTCTATGGAACATATGGATGCTCGCTGACGTATTCCGGCTGGAAGCGAATACAATGAGGCTCGCAAAAATCTCAGGGCAAAACTACGTGCTAACCTAAAGAAGGACTGCGAGACCTGGTGGTTTCATCGTGCCTCTGAGATGGAAACAGCCGCTGGCGTTTGTAACCATCGTAAGTTATTCCGTCTGCTACGGGAAACGGGCAGCAGGAGACCTGGTGTTAGCGAGTTCATACGCGACGAGAGTGGGCAGCCGATCCACAGCTTGTCAAAACGCTTGGAGCGTTGGGCTGAACACTGTAAGACAATTTAACAAACCTGAGTTATCGCTTTCTTCTTCGGGCATTGAGCGCCCTTCTCCTTGGGCCGTCTCCTCGGATCCGCCCTCACGCGCAGAGGTCGAACGTGCGATCAGGCTGTTGAAATTGCATAAGGCCTCATGGACAGATAGAATTCCCCCAGCCCTCTTCAAATTCGGGGGATCTGCTCTAATAGATAATTTACACGAGTTGTTAGTAAAACTTTGGGAGCAAGAGACTGGAACCGCTCCGTCATTGTCCCAATTTTCAAGGGAAACTCCCGTTTGGAATGCGGCAATCATAGAGGGATCAGTCTGATTTCGATTGTCTCTAAATTTCTTGCCTCTCTCATTCTCCACAGACTGACTGGCACTCGTGAAATCCAGATTCTTGAAGAGCAAGCCGGATTTCGTTGAGGTCGCGGCTGCATCGACCACATCTTCGCATTGCTTCAAGCGTTGGAGCACCGCCATGTTTATTGCCGACCCACGGTTGTCGTGTTTCTTGACGTAAAAGATGCCTTCGACTCAGTCGATCGATGTGCCCTTTGGGACTGTCTGCTGAGGATAGGTGTGCCAGATAAATATGTAAACATTATAGTTCGGGCAGGGTGAGGGTTTATGGCAAACTCTCGCCACCCTTCAGTATCACCAGCGGTGTGAAACAAGGATGCCCGCTGTAACCTTTCCTCTTTAACTTCGCTATTGATGAAGTCATGGAAACAGCGTTCACTGGACACGACCTAGAAGGTGTGGAGCTACTTCCTGGTGAGCGACTTCTTGACGTAGAGTATGCGGACGATATTGTCTTAATCTGTGACAACTCCAAAACATGCCAAACAGCACTGGACCGATTAGCACTGGCTGTCAATCGTTTTGGGCTATGCTTAGCTCCAACGAAATGTAACGTATTTCTCCAAGGTTGGCAAGGACCCAACCCTGCGCTAACGCTTGGTGGTGATCTGCTGGAAGTCGTTCAGTAATTCAAGTACCTGGGCAGCTATATTAGCTCTCGTGAAATCGAAGATGAGGTTACGAACCGCATAGCAACAGCTAGAGGTGCTTATGCCAATCTCCACCACCTGTGGCGCAGACGCGACATTACTCTTGCCCTGAAGGGCAGAGTTTACAACGCAGCCGTCCGTTCAACTCTCCTATATGGTTGTGAAACCTGGCCCATCAAGTCGACAGACGTGAAGAGGCTCGTCACATTCGATCATCGCTGCCTTCGCAGCTTGGCTCATGCCTGGTGGGAACACCGCCTGAGCAATGAGCTTGTTCGACGTCGCGTATTTGGTGCAGGAAGAGCGAGTGAACCGCTCAGCACCATTATATCACGCACCAGGCTCCGATGGCTGGGCCACGTGTTGCGCATGCCAGCACACCGACTCCCGAGACGTGCATTGTTTGCGCGTTGTGGGTGCGGTTGGAAGAGGAGGAGGGGAGGCCAAGTGATGACTTGGTCGAGAGAAATGAAAACCCTCACTTCGAAGTTGGCGTCCGTTGGTGCATCCCGACTACCTGGCTGGGGTCCTAAGGACGGTGAACGCGTTTGTTTGAACACACTTACTGATATGGCTTGGAGCCGGCACCAATGGCGTTTGTGTTGTGATTTCCTTTGCCCATCCCCCTCCTGTTTAGTATCCCCCTGCAGTCACGATCTCACCTGTTAGGCATAACACTATTCTCTTTTACGGCAGCCAGCTGTTAGCTCTCCGGAACGATGCCCATTCGTTACTGGGGACTCAGCGGGCATGCCACTGTTTGCCACTGTTTTCCTTTTCTTGTTTTTTTTGCCGCACAATAGCTGCGGTGTTTTCCACCTCCAGCTAACGTGTAATGATGGTGGTGGTGGTGATGATGATGATGATGATGATGATGATGATGATGATGATGATGATGATGATGATGATGATGATGATGATGATGATGATGATGATGATGATGATGATGATGATGATTAACTTAATCACCTGCACCTTTATGCGCCAATCGTCCGTGATTCTATTGCTTCCATACAACCGATCTGTTATAACCGGTTCTAAGCCTCCTTGAACGCAAACTAAAGATTCGTCTGTCCTGATTACACGACCCATTAACATGATTAGGTCTGTAGAAGTGTCTAGTCCGACAAGGGTAGAATTTGCATTATCGAGGCGTTGCATACAGTGGATTGACCACTGAATAATTGTGCCACTTTGACACATATTCGGCGCCCAGTAGTAACATTGTACAATTTTCGGTGTAACGAGATGCAAATCTCTTGCATAGTCTGAAGAACGGACCAAGCAACTTCAAGTAACCATTCGCCTATACGTTACACTCAAAGTACTGATC